GCAAACGCTTCTCTTTAAGTAATTGTTCCTGTTAAGAGCGTATACCTTTCACTGGTCTTCGCCGCGCTATAAATAATCTCGATGAAGATGCAAGGATATGACTTTCACAAGATTGGACAATTGATTAAATCTGTGACCTGCAATTGCGAATAATCTTGGAAGGCTATTTAAACAGATGAAGGCCTAAATTGTCTTGCTTGTATCTGAATTAATTTCTCGTTCATCATCATTATGGAGTGATTGGTTCTATTCAGGCTCTGCAGCCTGCTGGAACGAAACTGGATTTAAATTAGACTGTAACACAATTTAAATGCTCTCCAGCTTTAACGAGGCCAATCGAGCAGCTGCAATAAATACAAATATTTTTCTAAACAGCCTTGTTTTAAATAATTACTTAATACTTTCATGTGATGTTCTTAAGTGGCAATTTCTGTCTCTGAAGTCCCAGGCACTTCTTCTCAGAGAGGGTAGCAGGGAAAATCACTTTGTTTGCTTTGTGTATATATGTGCATGCAATACACCGATGGTGATTCTTTAAAATAGTTTTTGTAAATATTAGTGTAAACCTGCGCTACGTGCTTGGTTGTAGACACATTCAGTTTAACTATTAAAAAAAAAAAAAGACGGTGAATTGGAGGCCAGAGGTTGTGATTTATATATTTTCTTGTTTGAAGAGCCTGAACTAGTGATCTTTTCATCCCCCTCATAAAAATAAAAGAGAAAGGAGAAAAAAACAAAAACAAAAAAAAGGAACTTGCCAAAGACAGAGACCTGTTCTGGCTGAATCTGCCCCAGCCTGCCACCAAGCCCGTCGCCACCCCGGGAGGCGCTGCCTTCCCCCGTCGCAGCTCTCTGCACTCGCGGGGCGTGAGCGCTCCCGAGGGTGCGGAGCGGGACGGGACCCTGCCCGGCTTGCAAAAGCAACCAGCAAGAAAATCTGGAGGGAGCAGGCAACAAATGAAGGGCTCAAGTGTGAAGGATACAGCAAAAGGACATGGGGCTCCCCTCTCTACCTCCCCTTACGCCAGTCTAGGAACTTGATGTGCGTAAATGAAGCCATTTATGTTAGCGAGACTCCAACTCATCTTGACGTTGGTTTTACCCCAGGGTGACACTATTGTAAGTGGCAGGACAGTGGGCCTTGGGGTGACATATGGTGGAGGGTGTTTTCAGGGGCTAAGCTCAGCAGTAAAACAAGGTAGCCAGACGCGCAGGAAAATAACAGAAAACAAAAGGAACCTTCATATATAAAAGCGAAAAGCAAAAGGAGCAGTATGCCTTTCCGCAGGTGCTGGAAAACAACCTAATAGCCAAGCACAAAACGTGAAATATGGACAGCCGATTTTCTAATGATTTGGACGCTGGAGTAAAGAATAGTGCTGGGAAAGCAGATCCGATTCAGTTTAATCATACAACCTTAATAAAAACGTATAGCCTGAGAGGGGAAAGTAAGCGGCAGTCTCAGTGCTATCTCACTTAATGGTACCGAAGGTGACACATAAAACACAACAAAGATGGTCTGCGTAGAGCCGAAAAGGGGTGAGTGATTTGATAGCAACGCAGCAATTTAATGCGCGAGTTGGAACACAGCTCCCCGGGATCGTTTAGGCTTAACCCGTTCTCTAGAGCTCATCTTCCTCCTCTTCTGGTCCCTTTTTTATTAGTAGTATTATTATTCAGTTGTTTAAAATGAGCATTATCCCAAACATATGCAGTGCAATCAGCTCGGTCACACTTACAAGAACACACTTTAATAAGGCAATCAATCAAATGCTAACAAGGCGAGGAAGGCCCTTCGGAGTTGAATTTGGCTGGCTGGGCAGCGGAGCCCTGTAGCACATGGGGTACCCCGAAAACAGCCCCGAGGCGGCTGGGGGGCTGCGGGCGGGCTCTGCGGGCCGTGCTCGGGCACGACAGCAGCAAGGGCATCGCTTTGCGTGGCAGCAAGGGCATCTCCCCCTGCCTGGCACGGCTCCAGGGCCCGTCACTGCCACCCGCCACCTGCCCTCCTCCCGGGGTATGAGCCCCGGCCAGGGCGAGGCGAGGGAAACCTGCCCCACTTTGGGCAGTGGCTTGGGGGCAGAGCCAGAGCCC